CCCCAAAACCCCAAAACCCCAAAACCCCTATATAAATTTAGCATAGAAAGGTCATGCTAATCTTAAATATGTCTACTCAAATCAAAGGTGATAAAAGATGTCAAAAGCCATCAAATCCAGCCCACGCAGCTTTTCTCAAACTCTGCTGTTTCTCTCAAAAGAAAGATATTGTGCCCAAAGCGTGAAGGAAGTACTCCTTGGGACATGTCACAAACGAAGGATTCGGAGAGGAAGACACTTCAGCATACTTTGAAAAAGTATGCAAGGAAATAAAGCAGCTTGAAAATGAATACGAACACCGCAATGACTCTCCCAGCAAACGGATGAAGAGAGGTCTTCTTCATATCAAGAGACAAAGAGATCATCTCTCTGAAAGACTCATCGATAGGATACAGCACAGTGATAAAACAGCTTTCAAACAACTGCTTAAAAATATGAACAAATTGAAAAGTGTCAGAGATTTTGACAACTTCTGCAAGGCTCATGATATTGGCAACTTAGATGAAAGCCAAAGTATATCTGACTGCGAACAAAACCTGGATAGTGTTAAACAGTTGGATCATTCCTACGATATCTCAAATCCAAGAGGTGCTATCATTGCTCCAGAATCTTGCTTCTCTTCTTGAAATAATCAAAACACAAGAAAAAGTGCCTGAAAAGACAACAAGAAAAAAGTCGATTCCAATAAATTATTCAAAGACGTGGAGATGAAGAGAGATAGAGTCGGCTCTTCAGTTACAGATACAAAAGACATTCAGGAAAATCTGACAGGAACTTCCCCAATTCCAACATGAGACATCGTCAAAAATAAAATATTTGATTTCTCTCGTACAAAAACAGATATGAAGAGATCACAAATTTTACATGTATGTTGTCTTGCTTTAGAAGTTTATATCACCAGCATTTCTAAGAGATAGTCTTAACTTGCAAATATTGCTAAATTTTCATAAATAACCATTATTATAGAAAACTGACAGAAGTTCTCCTGCATTAGAAATAGCATTCAAAAAGACCAACCAAGTGGAATAAACATCTACGATAATTTCAGACTTCCAGATGTTTATTAGAGAGTCTCTTCTTCCATAAAAGTTTATTTAATGGTACTTTATTCTAAAAGTTCCATAAACTTTGAATAGGAGAATTGTCGCAGTATCCATGAAACTTACTTGCTCAAGACTCCTTGTGTGGAATAATATCTGGTTAAAACCTAATTGCTTATAATATCAACTTTTCCATAATTCTCAATATTCCTACACCATTCTGTTATTATTCCCTTTTTCATAAGTTAGAGAATTTATCTCTGATCCAAAATCTCATATTTCAGGGTGAATAAATACAATTTACAGAGTGCTGATAGGTTTATTCAAACACAAATAATAAATTAGCTTAATTCTGCCTCTTTATAACAAAAACACTACAATTTGTCTATTTTTCTCCAAAATAACATAACTTTGTCATTTTGCTAACTATTCAGAGTTCTATAACTCTCAAATTTAGATATGAAAGGATTTCTTCATCTGTTCCAATTCGTTAAATATTTCAAAGAAAAAGACCTATGATAACCTTCTATTTTATCATGGGCAACTATTCGTCCCAAAGTGAGTAAGGAGTCTGCCACAATAGAACTTTATTTCTCACTAAATATAAAGGAATTTTTGCATAAATAGCCAACATTTCAAAGGTCAGCTCAAGAATAGGAAGGGTCTAGTCAAAAAATAGAATTAACTGTTCATAAAGCTTAGGGTTTATGAGCAACCCATATTGCCAGAAGAGACCAACACAGGTCTTGAATTTCATCGTTATTAGCTGATACAAATGAACTTGAACTTTATTGGCAAAACCTTAACCTTTCCATTTTTAATAATATGCCAGAAAAATTAATTTAAGAAGAGGTAGGATAAATGACCCTCTGAGTTTGTTGAGCAAAAGTAAGGCACACCAGAGAGTCTCTTGAGATTTTAAAAGACAAGATGAACCATTTTTGAATTAAATCTTCAGAAATATTTATGCTTCAGCTAATTATGGAAACTAGTAAATGGTTGATTTCATATTTTATTCATAAGAAGAGAAATCAAATCCTCTCTTTGCTTCATAATCTGAAAGTTCGAACAGATTGCTCATGAAAATTCTCAAATTTCATGATTATTAGCTCATTCTCATCAAGATTATTACAGTGAGAATAAACCTCTTCAATTTAATAACTAAAGAAACAAATCTGAGTTTGGTAAAGATTTCCAAATCGAGGTGAAAAATAAAAAATTCTCATGAAATAAAAGTATTCCAGTAACTTATAAAACCTTACTGAGCAAGCCAAGCATGTGTGAGAAGACAAATATTGATATTTGGGCTTGTTTAATTCTTATAATACCACCCAAAATTTAATTGAGTTAAAGGGGCTATGACAGTGAAATATCTACTCCATACCTTCAGTGGCCAATTCCAAATTTGTTCGTACTAAAATAATTCGGTTTGTTCAAAAAAGTTTGATCTCCATTTTTTGCAAGCTTTAAAAGACCCTAGCCAGGGTCAAGGAAGAATCAAATCTAAAGGAATTTGATCAACTAAATCCTAATTTTATTTCATCTCTATGATGAACCTTTATAACAGGGTTTTAACATACAAATTTTGGTCATTGAAGAGGATCTAAAACCATATTTGATCAACAGCAAACATTTGATATGGGGTTTTGGGGTTTTGGGGTTTTGGGGTTTTGGGGTTTTGGGGTTTTGGGG